GCAGTTCCTCACCATCCTCGCCTCTGCCGCCGTCGCCTCCGCTGCCGCTATCCAGCAGCGCGACGTTACCTTCAAGGTCTCTGAGTTCAGCGCCGGCTGCATCCCCCACAGCTCCCAGTGCTCCTACTCTTTCACCGTCATCCAGCCCGGCACCATGGAGACCACTGGTGTCAAGTGCTCCGGCCTCTTCCAGGCCCAGGGCACCAGCACCCTCCCCGACGTCAAGGAGGCCCCTTGCACCGACTCTTCCCGCACCTTCGACGTCGTCCGCTCCGCCGAGGGCCTGACCCTCACCGTCTCCCAGCCCGTCACCCCCAGCTCCAACCAGACTGGCTCCCACCTCATCCCCAACGACCAGCTCGTTGTCGCTACCCAGCCCAACGCCCAGGTCCAGTCCTACAACGGCCCCGCTGCCTTCGACCTCGAGTAAGCGGTTCGACAACCAGCTGTCATCGACGCTTGACTCCGGTCACCTCAGACTTTTCATTCGACGATGGGCGACCCCTGACCTTGGCATTGCAATACCAAGCAAGCAAAACAATGCATGCAGAGGTGGAAGACTGGCGCTTGCTCAGTCCAGGGCTGTACAACTCAATTTTGATAGACTTGTAACATAGAAAAATGCATTTGGATCCATTTGGCAAAACCTTTTCCTCGCTTCGCTCGTGATCTTATCGCCCTACTCTGTGTCAGAACTGTTGGTTCAAGCCATAACACTCGATTTCACCTCCAGGGCTTAGTCCATATGACCAGACCTAATAAGTGGTCACTTTTGAGAACAACCATGAATTGGCATAGAAACACTAGCCCTTAGGGCCATCGATATTGCGCGAACTAGTTGTCTTTACCTTTAGATCTGCTGACCCATAGCGCTGATGTCTTTGACTGCCTCGAGCTCGGGCAAAAAGCTCTCGAACTTTCCCTTGATCATCTTCCACGCCGTCGCGACTAAGGGCACTCGCAACGGAATCTTCTCCCCGCGGCTTGCGATACCATAAATGGCATCCGCAATGGCAGAGGGTTCAGCGCCCATGCCCATCTTGAGCCCTGCGTTGACGTATCGTTCAAGGGCTCGGGCAGGCATGTCGCTGGCCGCGTAGGCTGGATGGGGAGCGGTATGAGCCTTGCTGTGACCTTCGAAGTTAGTCTTGACCCCAGCAGGCTCCACGATACAGAAGTTGACTGTGTTCCGAAATTAGCCTTGTGATCGAGCAACGAACATGAACGACAGGATTATTGGGCTCACTGTTCCAATCCGGATGCATCTCCCTGGCCACGGACTCAGACCAGCCCTCCACAGCCCATTTACTCGCATGATAGTAGGCGTGACCGGGCAGCCCAACCTGACCTGCTAAAGAGGAAATGTTGAAAATGATACCGCCTCGGTGCTCCGGATGCTGGCGCATGACTCCGATAGCCCGGGTCGACACCCGTGCGGTGCCGAAAAACAGGGTCTCCATTTCCAAGTGGGTCTCCTCTTCGGTTGCCGACTCTGTGTCGCCGGAAAGCGAATACCCGGCGTTGTTCACGACAGCATCGAGATGAAAGTCTTTCCCAAAGTGCTCGGCTGCCGATTCAAAGGCAGCATTGACGGATGTTGGCGATGTGACGTCCAACGCAAGCTTGAGGATGTTGAAGTTGTCGTCGGAGAGATAAGACAGATCTGCAGGCTTGCGGGCCGTGGCGATCAACCGGTGGGAAGGTTTGCTGGCAATTAAGGTCGCCAAGGCTTTCCCGATACCAGAAGAGCAACCGGTGACTGCACAAGGATAAGTCAATTTTTCGACGGAGATTGGTGAAATGAGGCAACGCTAGGGGGAAAACAAACATACTCAACCAGGTTGCATCGGCGGGCAAGTTGTATGGTTTGGTGTTGACGGGATTCATGACCAAGAATGGGGAGAGCCTGCAAGCTAAGAGAGTGTCTAATTTGTGTTATATACGAATCGTTTACCACATCTTCATTGTGCGGCGAGCCAAGACTCTTTATATTTTTATTATTGTATCTTGTTTTACCCTGAATTCAGGCGCCGTAGCATCACAGGGCTTACTTCGGGAGATCGGCAGTCGGCGACTAGTGAGTTTGGCACTGACCCCTATCCTTCGTTCAATGAAGACACCCGAGTGAGTCAACACGACCGGCAGCAATGCGGCGAGCCCAAAATGGCTGGCCGATGGTCGCATCTTCACGCTTATGTCTGTCAGCATGCCGCAAAAGAACCCCACACGCAGTGGTCCTGCTTACCTGAATTTGTCCTCTCGCACTCGCCTACTAATTCAAGCCACACACCGGACGCGCGTTTGCATAGATCAAGCCACCAGAAAGCTGGATATCTTCTCAGGCGCCGATTGCTGGTTGTACGAATGTCTTTGACACGGCCAATGAAGGTCACGTCAAGCTGCCCGATTGTCTTGATAACATCCATAGGTCAGTCGGCTCATCCAACGGTGATGGTGGTTCCACCGCGGAAGGCCCATCAGCTGTGCCTCATTCATATTGCACCCGCCTCATGATGTTGATTGGTTTGCTGTGTGTGGCGGAATCGGGGGAGCTAGTTGATACACCCAGACTCACAATTGACAGATAGGTACGCATTACTTAAGAATAAGCTGGTCGGGTTATTGATCGAATGACGAGAATGGCACGGCCTTCGTTACTCCAATCATTAAAGGCAGATGATATTGAAGTCTCTTTCAAAATATCCCCTTCTGTCCTTACAGCCCACGGTGCCGCTAGTAGTCATGCCCAAGACGATGCCTTGGCAAAGGGCTGGACTGAAAACGCACTGAAATCACACACGGTCTGATCTTTAGTGATTTGGTTAAAAATTGAGTAATCAGGAAGCTTTTCTCAGATGACCCAGGTAAAGACTGAGCCTGAGTCTGTCTTTCATTGTCTTCCACCACTACCACCTTTGCTGACAGACATCTTCTCCACACATTTCGAGCCGACCAGGTTGTGCGACTAGATATTACAGGGAAACCCAGACTTAAATGTCAACTTCACTTGCTTGGTCTTGAGCTCTGAAATACGTGTTGATTTTTGCGTCTTAATATCGCCAATTGACATCACGACTGCGTGAATGGGACTTGCAAATGATAGGGTCGGGTCGCACAAAGACGCGCGCTCAGTGTTGTGGGGAAGAGCAGGGCGCACCACCACCGCGCCCGATGTGTCCACAAAATTCGCTCAATTACCCATCTCCAACTCCCGCCTTCACCGCCTACGCCGACGACCGAAGCAAGACATGGCGCCACGAGACGCATCGCCCCCAAGGCTACTACCTTATGCGGATCCCGAGGAAATTTACCCCGAGCATGTACGCTTGGAGGAGGAGACTTTCCCTTGGTACCATCCGGACAACTGGTACCCTGTAACAATCGGTCAGGTCTTTGAGTCGCGTTACCAGGTCTTGTTGAAGCTGGGATTTGGTTCAGCGTCGACGTCATGGCTATGCCGCGATTTGAGGTATTCGTCTTTTAGGATTCTGTATTAGATGGTTCATACTGAGTGATTTTGCAGAGAACATGTCTACGTCACTCTCAAAGTCTTTGCGGTCGGCAATAGTCAAGCTGCAACCGAAGAGAAGGTGCTCCGCCATTTAGAATCTGTCAAATCCGACCATCCCGGAGCAAAATTAGTAAGACTTCTCAAGAACACTTTCAAGATTGCAGGCCAAAATGGTAGTCATATGTGTCTTGTTCTCGAAACTCTCGGTATATCCCTTGCCGACATTCGTGAGATGGCTGGCGGCAGGGTGCCTCCAACTCTTTTGAAAGGGTTGGTCCAAGGCGTATTACTCGGACTGGACTACCTGCACACTGCGGCAAGTATCATCCACACAGGTATGTTTCTAATTTCGTGTTTTGGAATTCTCGGAGCAATGATTAACAAAGATGTTAGATGTTCAAGACGGAAATATCATGTTGTCAATCAAGGACACGGATGTTCTTGATGCTCTCGTAGAAGATGAATGGGATTTGCCTAGCGCTCGAAAGATTATCAAAGATCGAGTGATTTATGCGTCGACGGGGCTGGAGATTCCAGACGAGCCCGGAGACCCCGTTATTGCGGATTTCGGAGATGCTCGGATAGATGAAGGCCCCTTTGAATTCGAGGAGGAAGTAATGCCTGATGTCTATCGAGCCCCCGAAATAGTGTTGGGTGTGCCATGGAATGAAAAGATCGATATTTGGGCGCTAGGACTGTTGGTAAGTAGAAGTGACTGCGACTGGATCCAGAGCATGAGGTAACCCAGATACAGATATGGGACTTGCTTGAGGGTAAACTACTTTTCAAGACTAGACTGCGAGATCCAACGGTATCAAGGGCAGCGCACTTTGCGAGGATGATCTCTCTGCTCGGCCCTCCGCCGGAAGACCTCTTGGAGCGCGGTTCGGCTTGGAAAACTCTATTCGATGAAGACGGTATGTTTGAGACGCAGAGTAATGCCGACAACTCTTTCTGACATAGTCCTCAGGGCGGCTCATACTCGATGTTGAAGTTTCAGAAACCTCTCTTGAAGAAGAAGAGGGGGTGTTAGAAGCTGACGAAAAGGCGGAGTTTCTGGCATTCCTGCGGAAGATGTTGCAGTGGAGACCGGAGGACAGGCTCACAGCGCGTGATCTAATGGAAGACCCCTGGCTACGCGGAACTGCAGCGTGATGACTACAGTGGGATATCGGCCTCAATCTGAGAATGACAAGCCATTGTGGGATGTTTTGAAATAACTTCATGCTTGAGGGCACGTAAAATATGATGCAACCGAGAGGGGTTGTGAATTGACAGATCTGTCCTGCTTGATGAATTGAAGGCGAGAGGAAATGGTCCCATGGGAATGAATGAGCACACACATGGATTTCGTAGCAACCGAGGGTTGAAAGTTCCACCGAAATTCAAAACAGAAAATGACTTGTCTTCCAAACAAACACTAAGACTCAAGAACCGACCAACAAGGTAGGACATTTTTGCCTACTAGGCCTCCTGCGGAACACTAAACTCACACAAAGTAAAAGCACTCAATCTCTCTTTGAATAAGAACGGCAGATCTCTAGAGCCCGGAATGTTAGCAATTCATCAAGAGGACATGGGGAGGTCAATGTAACTTACGTTCGGGACGGTGCTATTTACTTCGCACCATGGCTTCATTGGATTCTTCTCGTCTTTCTCGAGATTCTCAATGCTCCAGAATTCCGGCTTACCATTACTATTCGCCCACAACGTGATATTATGGTGTTCCCTTTTTTTGAACTCGATTCTAAGCTCGTTGCCTTGGTCATCCGTCAAAGTTTGCGCACTCGGTAGAGATCTGAATTTGCCACCGTCGCTGTGCTGCTCACTCTCCAAAACGGTCTTGTCGCCATCCTTGGTCTCGGATATTGTGATGTTCGCCATGTGCACGTCGTCATTCTTATGTACATTACCCCGGATTTCTTGGCTGATATGGACAGTACGTTTGAGCGGCTCATCTGTACTTGAGGATGGAGGGCTTGATGATGGTGCTGTGGAGCTTGGTCCTTGGGTTTTGGTGGCAGATGATTTGCTCGTGGCGACTGCCGTGTTACCGGAGGAAATAGAACCTGGCCCCTTTGCCGATTGAGAACTGGTAAAAGTAATACTGGTGGAGGTCTTCCTCAAGGAATTGGATCTCCCCTTTGATGCGGATGCTGAAGCGGATCCTCCATCACCTGATGCAGATGGTCTATTACCGGCAGCCTGAGGAACAGGGCAGGAGCCACCTCCGTCGTCGCGAGCCGCAACCGTTCCGTCTTGTCGATGACACCAAGACGACTCAAAAATTATCTTGTCGTAATACTCCCAGAACACTTTGATGGTAGGGCCTCGATTAACCCCATCAACCTTATGCGCAGGATGGTATTGGAAGAAGGCAAGACCTGCAGAAGACTCCGGCTGCCAATAATCCATGGCTCTTTGTCCTTCCTGCAGAGGCCTAGGCACACCTGGCCAGTATAAAGGACCTTTAACGTAAGCCTGGACCATAATCTTATCTCGAGGAAATCCGAGGCCAACAATGAAGTTTTTCCATCGTTCAACTGCAGCCGGGTGCCGCACCAAAGCATCTCTGACAGGATCCTCACGCATTGGAGATACGAATCCAGTCTGGGGAGTGAAAATAATGATTTGCAGTGTGTCTTCTTGCATGTTGTCGAAAATATGCGTTTGTTCCTTCAGCTGGTCAATACCCCTATGTTGTGCGTCTCCCTCTTTCAAAAACATCTCCACACCTTTGTGGAACTCTTCATTGAGGTCGAGTCCTGGATAATTGTAGGGGTTTGCGAAGTTTGGGACCTCCCAGTTGTGACTCACGTATATTCCTCGTTTGGTGATAATCATCAGAATACTGCAACCCCATAGTGGACCGCTCCCACCGACGATTCCTCTGTCAGCCCATTCACTGACTCGCATCGTAGACAGTCCGTACGGCCCCAACCGCGAGTTTTCACCGTCGGAATATCTGTGGTATTGCTCCTCTGCCCCGTCGCAGTAGTTCTTGATCTGGCGGAACATTCGCAAGCGCCAGGCGGCTTCACCGGCGGGCCAGGTTGTCACGTATGGTCTGTCATTTATGGGGATATCGTTGCCCGCTGCATCTTTTTTGACATCTTTAACCCAGATTCCATCAGGGTGGTTAAGTAGTTCATCGTCATCGGGAGGGTTCCAATCGACGTAGTTGATTACTCTTTTTGATAGACCGGACTGCGTCTCAGTAGACGAAAGCACACAATACCCGCAGTTGGACTCTGGGCTGCAGAAGAATTCAGAGGGCGTGGCACTATCTGTAGAGATTGTTGTAGTGGTTGTGGTTTCCACCGTTTTACTGCAGACGACCATTGGCTGACAGGTGGCCGTGAAACATGACGTGCTGAAGCTCGTAGACTTGTCGATAGTAGTGACTGATCTAGCGACACAGCTTTGGCCGCAGTTGGGATATAATGTGGTAGAAGCAGTACAAGACGATTCTGAAGAGGTGGTTGTGGGTGTCTCCGAAGGCTTCGGATCTTCAGGATCGCTTGGGTCACCCTTCCGGGGCTCCTTGGGAGGTATAGGTGGTGGCTGAAAAACACGGTTAGAAGTAGCACATCTGATTCATGGAGAGAAAGCTTACCGTGGCCCATGGGAACCCCATGGGGCCTGGAAGCTTGAGCTGAGGCATATTGCAACCGAGAAACGGAATCAGACATTGAGGATGGCAAATCGGCCCAATGCAGCCCCAGACGGGTACGATCCAAGGAAAGATGATGCCACCATCGGACGAGGACGTGGTGACTTCGGAGGAAGTCCATGTAACTTTGGTTGTTGAATCCACGCCTGGAGGCTGCGTTGTCGTAGCGGTCATGAAGAGGACGGTGTAGGAGTTGTCTGAGCTGGTGGAAGTCGTGGAGCTGACACCGCTTGTCGCGCTGCCACCTGGCTGAGCTGTTGTTGATCGGGCGGGCGACGATGTGCTGGACACCCGACTGCTCCCAGATGAAGGAGAGGTGGAAGACTTATTGTCCTTGTTTGCGGTTGTTGAAGATTCATCGTCATTCTTTCTGTCAGTTGACGAGTTGCTGTCTTTTTGCCTGCTGGTAGATTTGCTTCTATCGTTCTCTTGAGCTGTGGAGGTGCCGTCGCTGTTCCTTTCAGTTGAAGAAGAGGCATTTTCTCTCCTGGTGGTAGACGATTCGTCATCATCCTTTCCAGCGGTGGAAGAATCTGGTCCATTCCTCTTGGTGGTATGGCTACTGCTGGCATCCTCGGTTGATGTGGTGTGAGTTTCGTCTCCAATTGTGGACTTAGGGCTAGTTCCAATGGTGGACGACAGACCTCCTCGGGGAGTGTCGTCGCCTAAAGAGGTGGTGGAAGACTCTGCTACATTGCCTTTTGTCGAGGCTGTGTTTCTTGCAGAAGAAGCGGCTCTGCTGCCGCTTAACGTACCAGAAGACTGAACAATGTCATGTGTTCTGCTCGTATCGCCAGGCCTAGTGGTAGAAGAACCTGTGGTAATGGCAGGGGTAAGGCTTGTGACTGATGGGGGTGGCAGGACAACACTCGGACTTTCACTATGCCTCGTTGCATCCGAATGAGATGTGTTGGTGCGTTCTGGCTCGCCCACGGACAGAGACCTGTGAGTTTGAGAGGGATTGAAGGTAGAATTCAGTCTCTGGGAACGCTGGGTTGGGAAAGTAGGGCCAGTTCCCGTTGAAGAGTAGTTCTGATCGGTCCCTCCAATCGTGCTCGAGAGGACGTTGGTTTTTCCAGGATGACTGCTTTGCGGCAACGTATCATTTGAGCCGGGGATGGGGGACGTAGATGTAGACGACAATCCTGGAGAGTTGGGCGTGGTAGAAGTATTGGCGAATGGGCCGCGGAAACTGGATTGCAGACTGGTCGCACTACTGAATGTAGCACTAGTACTGGTGTTCGCTCCAGGGACAGCTTGACTTGACAAGTTCAATGTGAGTACCGAGGAAGCAGGGACATCTTGAGGGGTTATTGAAGGCGTGACATCGCCAAGGCTTTTGGAGAATGTGACGAGAACGTATGTGGTCAGAAAGCTAGTGATAACCTGTTCATCCTGGAGTTCAGAGGTTGTAACAGATAGCGCAGTCTCATTGCTGGTGATAGCGGAAGCAGGGTTATTGGTGACGTGTCGTTTGTTCTCGTTGGCTGATGGTAGATGGGTTAGAAATTGCTGTATCACTTGTGATAATCACAAGAGATTCTCTCACCTTCAAGGACAGCATGACAAACGTCCAGAAGAGAAGCACAGGCAACCCAAAATATGAAGAAGCATCGAGTTGTCATTGGTGACGACCTTCGTAACCCCATTCTACCAGGGTAGCTTCGACAGCACGGTATGGTCATATTGAAGGCCAAGACAAGAGGTCTGTGATAACAAGACGTAATGAAAGAGGGGTCAAATTGAGGTTGTGAGTTTTCACGGTAACGACGTTCGATTGAGCACGACAAATAAGTGAGGCACAGGTTGCCATCATTTCAGGATCACAGCCTTCGTATTTCAACAGTATCTCCCCTCCCAACGGCGAAGATATTATCAAGCCGCGAGAGGCGCAGATTAATCTTCTTTGTTACGAATGTCTATCATATGTGCCAAAAGGTTGGTGTCAGGAGACATGATTACGGCGGCACAGCCTGAACCTGCATGAGTGGCCCGCAAGGGGTCATTTGTATCTGCGCTGGTGAGTCCCCAAAAGCCATGCAGCCCCAGGTTTTGACTTGCAACTGTTCCCAAGATCACTGGTCCCGATGGCCAAAGTCGTGCTGCTTGTTCGTGTCTAATGCCGTGAGACAGTTTGCACAGGTAGACTGGCCTGTTCTACAGAGTTGACTTGCCGGCAAGCCAGCAAGAGCCTCAACTATCCGATCGTCGAGCATACTGTTTTGAAAGCTGACCCATGCTATCTTTGGAGAATCTGAAGGTTCTATTGCCTCCTTGCCGATGCGGCAATCAATGAGGGGCACCGTTGTCAAAGACGCGAAAACGCAGGGTTCGTTTCATGGGTGTCGGCGTTGCACAAGCGGCATGCCGTACTACACACCCTGAGGCTCCATGAAATAGATATCCATGTATTAGAATCAAGTACAAGAAAGCTTCCAAGACTACTGCCGGATCGTGGCGTTGCAATCCTTTGTACCAACTATGACAGTACGCGTGCCCTTAAGGCCGTCGACCTCGTCCATGACTTTCCGTAAGAGCTGAAGAACTATTGCGGCCAGTCACGTAGTACTAAGACCAGGAAAGAAAATAAAATCCGCTCCCTGCAATTCTTCAGTGCGGATTTTATAAGACTCTTGTTGTACATCAAGGCACATACTTTGAGCCACTTATGATCTGTACTACGTGAGGTATTACGTTAAGCTTTTTGTAGTTGCTATCCTTCTTATGAGTATTGTGACTGAGGCTCCTGTCGTTGACCTCATCATCGTCCTTGCTGCTATCTTTATTCCCATCCTCGTTGTTGTTATCATTCCGAAAGCACTGCCCCCTGAGTAGCAAGATATTGACCAGGCAATTCTCTTGACGAGTCTTAGTGTGACTGCAGACAGCCTCAATGAAGGCCCGGAGTCTTACGGCAGATTCTTGATCGTATAAGCAGTGTTTTGGAAGGCGGAAGATACTTACATGGAAGTAATCCACCGCATCCATGGATGTTTGTTTTGGACCATCAAGGTTTGTCCTTAATTGGTGCTTTTACAGGAATCTGGAACACCTGGAAATCCACCCGAATTCACCCATGAGTGGAAAACTATGTTTAATCCATAGAGGTGACGAAGAGATCCACTCTTGGGAACAAAACTTATCTGACCTGCTGACAGCTGCTCTCTTTCAAACTGTTTCCGTGTATGCACGCGACATTTTCACCGGACCCCCTTGCTTGACGCCCCAGCAGCAGTATTCACCAAGCACAAAACCATCTCCATGAGACATTTACTACAATCCTTCCAGGCAGGGGCGAGGCGCCTGGGTGCCAGGCTCGTCTGGTCCGCCAACATGTCCCAGGTGCCGCGCCCTATTGACGAAGAAGACCTGGCAGGCTATCGTCCAGGGGGCTACCACCCCGTCCGAATCGGCGACCATTTTAATCATGGCAAGTACAAAGTGCTGAACAAGCTGGGATACGGGAGTTATTCGACTGTTTGGCTTGCCCGCAATAACGAGTGAGTAACATGCGACTTGAGCATTGTACCTTGCCCAAACTCACGGGTCGTCAGGACCGAGAGCCACGTTGCACTGAAAGTCCTCGCCGCAAACACGTCCGAAGTCGGGCTAGACATCAACGAGCTGGATATCCTCCTCAAGGTGACCTCGAAATCCGCGACAAATCCAGGCACAGCCCATGTCCTGGGTCTTCTCGACCACTTTGAGCACCGCGGACCTAATGGAGACCACCTCTGTCTGGTGTCCAAGCCCATGGGCCCGAATATGTCGGTGTTCAGAACTTTGTTCCCGAAAGCGAAGATTCCGCTGCCCACTATGAAGAGGGTTTCAAAGCAGCTTCTTCTTGCACTTTCCTATCTTCATGATGAGTGCCAGGTCATACACACAGGTTGGTCCTTGATCCCAGCGCTATTCAGGTCATTCCTAACTTTCCTCCGTTGAAGATATCAAGCCAGCAAACATCATGATTGAAAGCCCCGGGATCAACGAGCTGTTTGAGCAGGCGCCCTCAGAAGTATTTGTGTCATCTGATGTGTCCCTGCCTCCACCAGAAGACTTCTATATAGGTTCGCATGAGTTTTGTGCAGGAGACGAAGATATCACAGAGTCGAGCGAGCTTTCAGTACGACTGGCAGACTTCGGTACCTGTAAGTGTCGCTGTAGCATACGCAATAGGAACACCGCTGATACGGAGTAGCCAGCTGGTTTGACGATCACTTGACAGAGTGGATCCAGCCCGACATGCTTCGGGCTCCGGAAGTAACACTCGGGGCTGATTGGGATCACAAAGTGGACATATGGAACTTAGGGCTCGTGGTAAGTCATTCTCCTTACGCAGCTTGAGTCAACAGCCATACTCACATCGCAACTCAGATATGGGAACTCACCCAAGGGGCCGTTCTGTTCGACGGGAGCTGGACGCCTCAGGATCCGTACACAGGCGAGGCCCAGCTGGCCCAGATGACATCCCTTCTGGGCGCCTTCCCCAAGTCCTTGCTGTCTCGGTCGAGGGAATGCGATGGGTATTTTACCAGTGACGGTCAGTTTCCCATTGGAGGAAGGAATCATCTACGGAGCTAACTGACCGCTAGGTAACCTTTTGAAGCCCTCAACATTCGGCTCCCTGTCCCTAAACGACATGTGCAAGAACAGGCTGAACTGCAACATGTCAGAGTCTGACCGGGCAGATTTCTTGGACTTCATCATGACGATGATAAGAGTCGATCCAGCTGAAAGACCGGATGCGAAGACCTTACTGGGACACAAGTGGATTCAAGAGGCATGAGAATAATGTGGACAGGAGTATCAAAACCGTCGCCTCCCGAACTCAAATACAACACGCCAAGTTCTCTCGGCCGGGGTTGCCGTGACCATGAACACGTCCGCCGCTAGGCACTCGCCAGATTCTCCCCCGGCCTCGGTTATCCAGCTCGGACCGTCAGCTGGTATGCTCCAGGACCCAGGATCATGTGCCGATCCCCCGACTTCGTCACATCCCTCCCTCGCAGACAGCAAAGATCCGCACAAACCACCTGAAAATCAGTTCACCAACCACCCAAACCCCCCTCAAAGCTTTGATAAGAGCAAACTCATACATTAATATTATTCAAAAATGCTGCTGCTATGTAACGTCTATCCGCCTTTTTTGTGTTCATGTACTCCATTAAACCAGCCCCGTCCGAAGGCTCCGGAACCATGCAATGCTATGCCCCAAGGAATGAGGAGCAAGCGAAATGGCGATCATCAGAAATCGTTCAAGCATATCGCCGGAAAGCGCAACCTCCTGCGCTCGGCCCTTTTTCTTCCCCAACAACAAGACACACATCCACCTTACGCGACGGCGGAGATCTCAGTGATGGGCGTGGGCAGCGTGATCTTGTCGCACTTGATCTCGCGCCTCGAGTAGACCTCGCCAATGGTCCAGTTCAGGTTCTGCCAGGTCGTCTCCTCGCACGAGAGATCAGCGACGGCGCCGCCCTTTGCGGTATACCGAGCCCTGCCACAGCCATTCTACTCAGCCTCCATTCTTGTCCAAAGGGCACATGTGAGAGAAACTTACGGGTACTTGGGGTCGTCGTTGCACGTCCAGCTCTGGTTCAGCGCCAGCGCGCCGTCGGGGCGGCTGAAGGTGAAGGACGTCGTGGCGCTCTCGCCGTCGGGCGCCTTGCAGTCGTAGACCATCTCGCCGTAGAAGAAGTCGTTGAGGCGGCTGCTCGCAGCGGAGCACGAGACGTTGTAGTCGAGCACCGGGTTGGAGACGTTGAAGCTGACGTAGCCCCACGAGTTCTGGTGCGCGGGCGTCGTGAAGATGTGACTGGCATGGAAGTCGAAGTCGGTCAGCGTCCACTCGGAGAGCTTGCCGGACTTTTGGCCGCAGGTCGGCTCGTCGCGGGGGGCAATGGGCGAGGCGAGCGCCGGGGCGAGGAAGAGGAGGGTGGAGAGGAGCTGCATTGTGGCTGTGGTGATGTTGAGATTGAGGATTAGATTAGGTGAGATTGGTAAGGATGAGATGGGATTAAGGAGTTGCGATGAACTGCTGCTCTGTGGTGATAATGCAAGATGCTGCTGGATGAGATGCAGTGATCGGACGGGGAGCACGTCCAGCTTAAATAAACCTCGACAACCAACCCATCAAGGGTCGCGTGCGTGAGAAGCAAAGATCGTCGAATGTTTGTTGGTTGGCTCCATGCCTGTCAACCTCAACCCAGCCATCCATCCGCATGAAAGTCGGTAAAGCCGGAGGACACAAAGTGTTCGAGAGAATGACGTCGCACGGGTTGCCTTGCTCTCGTATTCCCCCTCGATGGAAAATCCTACCGCACATCACTCTGTTTTTTTTCTCCTTTGCATTTTAGCCGCATCCCACCCGGCACCCATCCCCCTCACAAACGCAGACCGCGGATCGCAGCCGTTGCTAGTCAAGCGGGCTGCGGTAGAAACAAAAAGAGGGGGGATGCCATATACCGCATAGTACATGAACTACATAAACACTAAAAAAACAGCCTCACTGGAAATGCCCGATTCCGGGGAGCGCGAAAAGTATGCGATGCAGGCCCGTAGCGGAGCCCATATGCCATTATTAGCAGGCGTTGTTTCTGCCGTCATGCGACCCTCTGCGAGCTAAAAAGAGTAAGTCTAAACGGTGACTGGCTGCGGATGGGAAGCGGTGCCGATCTCTGGGCTCGTGTTGGCAGCGGAACCTAGCTCTGCGATGCGCATAACGGTTGCACACACAGCCTGTCAAATGCAGCCACGATCTCCCCTGGCGGTGCAGAAGACTTTTGAGCCCATTTGGTAGGGCGCACGGCTAGGTACGGGTGGCTGGATTTATTGGTGGTTGGGTTGGGACGGCATCTTTCAGGGTCCTGGCTTGTTCGAATTGCCGGATGGAATAGGGATGGAATGTTTCTGTGTTTCTCCGTTACATCGTTCGATTTCTTTACGAGGTGGGATAGATTGAAAATGCGCCTGTATTGATTCACGCGCTCGTCAAAACGCACGATCCATACGGGCGTTTCTTCCCTAGATTGCTGCAAGGAGGAACTGAATTCGTCTAGACGTGCATGTCCGAGTTCCTCACTGTCGAAGCTGAAGCCCCACGGCCGAAGGTTGATGATCGCTCCACTGAGGGGAACCGCTGCGGCCGGCGCTTGTCATGCTCGTCATGCCACCCCGGCGGGCCGATCGAGCGAAGCGGAGCCCTGGGTGAGATCTTTTTGTCCCGCGAACAAAGGACGAGTCCAGCCACTCCCGCGGGAATACGATGTCCGGCTCACTGGTCGTGTTTTTCGCCTCTTCGGTAGCGTAGGGAACGTTACAACAGTTGGGCGGCTGTGCCTGATTCCACGTTCTCACCGACTGGGAGATCTTTCACCGACTCCAAATGGCTCCGGCGCGCGCTCGGCCGAGTGAACCTGGCTGATGTCATGCTGTGTAGCGCGAGAGAACGGTCTATCGATTTCGTGAACGGGGGCGACAGGATCTGACCGCCGGGAACATAAGGCTTGCGATCGATGGGTATTTTTGGGCAGCTGAATGTGAGCGGTCTGCAGCTAACCCCGAGTTATGGATTTTGGCGGGACGTATTGATTCCATGGACTGGTCGCATCGCAGGCAAACGGGCCGAGCGGTGGAATGCGGACACGATGGCGGGGTAGTTGGCGGCGAGGGGCTCACGAGGGCTTCATGAAACCAAGGAATGCCTTCGACTTTTTGAGCATTTCATATTCAGGAACCCTAGAGACCTGTGATGGGCACTCTCAAGCTGGTACTTACCTCGAGGACTGGCCTCTAATCGCTGGGTGGAAGATAATGTCTGGGAACATTCATTGGGACGACGGCCTTTCCAGACAGATCAGCGTCAGTAGGGCGCGAACCCGTCGGCGACAAAATACGATCAGTCGGTTCTACTCCTTGCATCGTAAGGATGAGTTGCCCACGCGTTTGATGAAGACTGCGGCCGGGGAGATGAGGAGGATGCAGGAGAGAACATCTCTTCAATGTGAGTGACACCAGCCACAGGCTGCAAGTGAGGCGCATGTGGCTGTGGCCCCCAATCCCGAACGGACCCGACCCCTCCACTACAGAATCCGGCGGAAGCGGCGGGAAGACACGAGCCTATGAAGAAGCGTCCATCGCCCACGCCCGGCGCCCGAGTCACGGAGCCGGCACATGGGCCCAGCCTCCCCTCCCGACAGGCCCAGAAACCTCCGGATCCTGTCGCGATGAAAGAGATAAGATAGAGGTCATCATGAGGGGTAGCAAGAGCCCAGGTGTGCCAGATTGAAGATCAGGGCCCCTCCCTTTGGACCTCGAGAGATTCAGCTTCGCGAAAGCCCTGAGCCTGTACAGCTCTTGCTGTTGTCGTTAGATCACTTATTGAAGCTCTTCTCATCTGTAACACTCTCAGGATTCCAACAGATCGTGGAAAACCATTTCCTCAATCCACGAGTGATCAAAGAAGAGTCCAGATCCTCTCTTCGTCCTCCAAGCGCGGGGGAGGGTAACACAAACTCGCGCGAACCTTCGAACCTCTCCGCTCTTGGAACCGCGCAGATGCTCACCAACGAATGAGAAAGAATCACAACCCACGTTCTCATTTCCCGCAGCGTGCGATGCCAACCTCAACCCCCGATCCGGCGCGCAAAGAGCCCCACGTGGGTGCCATGGTTTGCCCGTAGAAAAAAAGGGTCTCGGTGGTAGTGGTGGGGCGGCCGTCGCAGCTTCCTTCCGAGTTTGGGGTGTTGGACATGGACATGGTGGAGGGGGTGGAATATTCTGGACAAGACCGCTGTTAAGGTAAATAGCGGCACCGAGGCGCCTGCCACTATCATGGCCATTGAAGACTTGTTGTATCCCGAATGTCGTTCCTCTGATCAAGTTTCACAAAGATTCCGATTCTGAGCACCGGAAAAGAAGCGCAGTAGCCGCGTGGGAGGGAAAAACGGGTATCATTGCATTCAGTCGTTGGTGACCAGATGCCATGCCTCCAGTCAATAAATATCACGAATTCCAACGCGAAGTTTCCCATGCCGCTGCCCGTCCTGATGCTGACGGCGGCAGCACCCATCACACCCCTCACTTGAGCCCCTGCACTCCCAAAGGCACCGCCGTAGGTCGTGACCAAGCCCTTGCTGAGACCTCATCTGCCATCATGAACAAAGTCGCCATCCTCACGTCGTCGACGCACGAGCCCGGCGTGAACATCCGGCAACGGTCCCTGATTGCCCTCTTTGGACCAACTTTCGACCTTGCCATCCGCTTCCAGAGAATGGCCGCAATCGCCTCGTCGCTATTGTTCGTTTACGGTCATCTGCTCGCTACATCAACGCTCTCGTCGACAGTGGTTGCGACAAGACTCTTCGCCACTCATTCGGCTTATGTCTCCCGAAAGTCCCTGTCGGCGCTTCGATTTTCGATGCGAACGGCGTGGAACTCCAAGAAGATTCGGCATATGAGGAAAAAGGTCTTCATGGAGTTTGCGACAACGATACTCGGTCCCGGGGGCAACATGCTGATCATCATGGTCTTCTGGCCAGGGTGGTTTCTGATCCTCGGAGCCATCCTCGCAGTTCGCCTCTTCGCAGGCTGAAGGATTGATCGAATGCCTCTCGGCACGATCACTCCTTACGAATATTTTACCCAGCTGCTAAATAACGGACGTTCACCTCGAGAAGAAGAAAGTATTGCCGCCGGCATCTTTCCGGACTTCCTTCTGGTAGTCTTTCTCGGGGTCGAACTCCTGCCACATGCTCGCTGGGTAGATGTGCTTATTGCGCTCATACCAGCGCCGATCCACCACCTTTGTCAAGGTCGGATCGTCGGCCGCACCCTCGAGGGTGTTGATATCGGGCAGAGCCTTGACAGCGGCTGCCTTAGCTTTCAACGCGGCCGCGGTGGTCAGGCCGCCATCGGGAACCGCGGGCGTCTCCTCGGCTTCGGGCTCGTCCGTCTTGGGCGGGGCGTTGGCGGCGTAGGTGAAGAGCTGCTGGCCGTCGGGGCCAGTGCTCTTGTTGATGATGAAGAAGTAGAATTCATAGTGCTGCAGAGAATAGTTAGCCAAGAATCAGAAATAGAGACAAGATTATACCCACATGCGGAATAATGATTGACCCCCTCACGAGCATCAAATCATCCACGCCGACGCGTGCCCATTCTCGCCTAGCATTGGCCTTTTCTCCCACACCAAGCTCGGCGCCAACCTTGCGACTCTTGTCGAGGAACACCCAGACGTAGTCGCCCTTCTTGACACGTACTGTGCCTCCAGGGATGTTGGAACCATCGTAGAAGACGAAGGGAACGGCAATCTCGGTGGCCTTGACAGCTTCTTGGATAGCTAGGAACTCGCGTCGCAAAGCTTCCCTCTCAGCCGCCTCACGTCGGAGAGCCGCCTTAGACATAACCTTAGGCACAAACGCAACGGAAGAGTTGGCAACGACCTTGGACTTCTTCCCTGAGCTGTCGTCGCCGTCCTTGTCTGCGTCCTTCTTCCCCTTCTTCACCGGCAGCGCGTCCTCCTCTTCCTCTTCATCGTCGCCGAAAGACAGTTTGCTGCCCCCAATCTTCTTCTTTCTCTTCTTCGGCTTGCTTGCGCCACTGCCAGAGTCGCTGCCGGGGTCGGGCGTCGCGGAGTGGGATCGGTTCGGGGTGGACGTGCCGGAGAGGGCTGCTTCGCGCTCGCGCTCCTGCTGGTCGAGGACTTCGGCGTGTCGCTTGCGGTAGTCGGACAGCTGGACCAGACCGACGGTATTGCTCGATAGACGCTCCGTCGTGGTCTTCTTTGGCGCTGTGAAGCGCGAGGGGGCCTGGTCTGACATTGTGAAGGTGTGCGTGGACACGACAACTAGAGATGGTCGAGACGAAGCTTGAGCTACGACATCGAGCAGCAGCAGCAAAGACAAACAACGTGCGGTGTCATTGTTTTCGAGGTCATTGGGCACTGTGTGATGGACCCGCTATTCTTCCCGCAGTGGGTCCAGGCGCCGTTCGCTGGCAGGTGCCGCCCCACCATCCCGCCTTCCAGCTGTCCGTCACCTCACATTTCGCTGAAGCGAGGCGAGGCGAGGCGGGCAGTGGTGGTGAGCTGTTCCAACGCTTCCTCGAATTCCCCCGCCACCTTATTAAATCGGATCAATCTCACAGCTCGGCTCAGCTCATATGCTCGCTTGTCCTTCTTGATGTAACCACAGTGGTTCTTGTTTTTGTTTTGTTTGCATTTCAACCAGGAACACCCCTCACTTTCAGGTCCGCCGCCGTTCTCGTATTCCCTACCAGGCTCTCCCTCACCGCCGCGACTTTGGTGTCACTTGGTTGCGCTGCGTCTCAACATGGCAACCATGGAAACACAGGCCCGACCCGTTGACACGTCGTCTACGCCGTACAACGGCCCCGGGGCTTTCCCGACAGGAGGAGCACCGCCTGCAGACAAGTATCTTCAGTCGCAGCCCGAGTACGCCCAACCGACCCGTCCGGAGGATTACCCCCGCCCTTCCCGAGAAGAAGACCCTCCGCGCAAATCCGACCAGTACTCCATCCGCCAGAGCCAACCGGCGCCGCCGTACATCACATATGGCCATCCTCCCCCAATTCCCAAGGTCGCCGTCCAGCCTCCTGTAGTCGAGAAGATGGCTGGGCCGGCCGCTTACTACCCGGCTCCTCCCTCCCAAGCGGGAACCATGGCCGAGCTGCCCCGCCCCGCCGCTGCGCTTCAGCCGATCACGACCACAACCCAGGACATCCGGTCGCTGAAGACGAGCACGCAGTTCGCTATGCGGGAGTACCTTTCTCTCATGCGCAAGAGACGCCCCGATGGCTCGTCGACGATGGAGCTAGAGGATCAAATTCGGGCGCAGGGCCGCATCTTGGTTGGGGATCTGAAGACGCTGCGAAAGGAGGTTGGGGTACTGATCAAGGAAGGCGAGAACCACCGTTGGAGGAATTGGCTCATTGGAGGAGCTGTGTAAGTACTTGGAGATACATCCAGAGGTGCGCCGTGTGAGCTGACAGAGAGCAGGGCGACCTTCATCCCAGCCGTCAAGCGCGTCTTCCGTCGGCCTTCCTCGTCCGAGGGCAGGTCAAGCATCCAGGCGAGCAACAACACTGAGTATGCCTTCTCCAAGAGTAAGGCTATGCTAGCGCGCATCAAAGACAGCGTTCTCGGCCGCAATAGCTTTGCCAGCATTGCCTTCTTTGTTTTCGCCGTGCTTTACATCTTCTCGAACGAGGTCTCCCTGATGGTGGCCAAGACCGTCTCCAAGCGGCTGAAGCGGCTCGGCGCCAAGATCGAGCGTGGCGACGTTGAGGTTGTCGACAGCGATATGAAGCTGCTCGAGGGTTGGAGATGGAGAGTCCTTATGTGGGGGCAGTGAGACGATTTCATGAGCCTGATGAGTGGTTGCATGTACTAGACATGACGGATGAGTAGACGACAGCGTTGCATGGCGACTGCGTGTGTTTCCTTTGTGTTTGGACATATTTCGGAGTACCTACCAGAGTTTTGTTTCTCTTTGTCTCATCTTACTTATGGACTTCAATAAGATTTGGAAAACGGAGATCGCAAAGGGCAGCAGTAAACCTCCATTCTACCTAAGGTATGCTTGTTTGATGAGGGATTCTTTGAGAACACCGACTCTAACGTGGATCACTTTGCTTTAAGTGCATATTCCATCGTCGGTTATGTATATATGCATACGGAGGCCCACATTGCACCTCCATATTCTCTAATCGCGACGAGAAACGATCCTCTGGATTGCATCAACATCAAAGACTCTAGACGAGGATAATCATCTTCAGATACCCGTCCATCGCATCCGACGCACTTTTGACGCATGAAGGGTGTCATTTCCCTACTCCTTAAACGCCTGCTCATCGGCGGCTGTTCTTGTTCGCCCACCTTGCGCTCCAACGGCTGCATAGGCAGCAGGCGCCCTCCCCAATTTAGGCCGGCTTTTCACGCACATCCTATCACAGATGGCCGGCGAAAAGAGGTCGCATTCTGATGCGAACGAAACTCAAGCAGAAAGCGCGCCCGACTCTCAAAAATTTCGGCGCATTGGACGCTCCACTTTCGAAGCGCCACGGCCAATACAGCCTGGCACCCACGCAGACGCGTATTATCGCAACTTATACACCGGCACTCACGACTACGCTGCCCTGGGCAAGAAGCACAGCAAACTTGGCGCGAAGTAACACGCCTCCTACCGCGGACATGCAAGAATACACCTAACTTCCTCTCAGACTCAGCGGGAACACACTCGACTTCAATGACCCGCATGCTGTCATCGCACTCAACAGCGCATTACTGAGAGAGCATTTCGATCTAGAAGTCGACCTGCCTGCTGACCGGCTATGCCCACCTGTAAGCACAATCCTTCGCGCCTTGAACAAATATCTGACTGCTTGAAGATAGCTCAAAGACACAACTACATCCTGTGGCTCAAGGATCTGCTCGACAGCACTTCTTACGAACAGCCAGACCATCGAAGAGTCGTTGGCCTGGACATTGGAACTGGTGCATCTTGCATCTTCCCTCTCCTCGGATACACGCAACGGAGATGGTCCTTCTTCGCAACAGGTACCCTTCCTCGCTCACAGGTAGTATCCACAGCTGACTGGTGCAGACATCGACGAGAAGAGCATTTCATATGCAAAACAGAACGTCAAACTCAATAATCTGCAAAGTTATATCAGTGTTGTCAGACGCAGCCCCGAAGAAAAGTTGGTGAATCCTGAGGGACTCGGCGTGGATCACCTGGACTTCGTGATGACCAATCCCCCATTCTATACTTCCGAAGAAGAGGTCAAAGAGTGCGAGCAAGAGAAGGCTACAGAACAGGAGAATCACTTTACCATCGCCCCGAACGAACAATTCACCGAAGGCGGAGAGGTCGCATTCGTGGGCCGGATCCTGGAGGAGTCTCTCGAGTTGAGAGAGCAGGTGCAGTGGTACACCAGCATGTTTGGCAAGAAGGCCAGTCTCGACGCCATCTTGGAGAAGCTTCAAGAACATAAGATCGACAACTTTGCGGTGACTGAGTTCATCCAGGGCCCGAACTCGAAAACCAAGAGATGGGCTGTTGCATGGAGCTTTGCGGCGATGAGGCCTTGCAACAAGGCTGCGAGAGGTCTGGCGGCAGCTCAATGGAGGGGTATGCTTCCTCCAAGCACTGAGACGGAGGTTGTTGAGCTTCCATTGGATAGGGGAGTCGGAGCTCTGGCAAACAATCTGCAAGAGGTGGCGAATTCTTTGGAGTTGATATCATGGGAGTGGGATCGGGAGAAGCTCGTTGGCATCGGCAGAACGCGAGAGGATGTGTGGAGCCGAGCATGGAGGAGGAAGAAGATGCGCGAAGAGAGGGAAGGGAAGAAGCCTGAGGATATCTCGACGCCTGAGCAATGCGCGTTCGGGTTTGAGCTTGCCCTCGAGGTCGGGGCGGAGAGGATTAAGGTCATCTGTCGGTGGAAAGAAGGGCACTCCAAGCCACTTTACGACAGCTTTTGCGGCTTCGTAAAGACCAAACTGTCAAAATCCGACTGAGAAAGGAATGATGAGGGATCGACACACAGGGAAGCGGCGAACCAAACTTCATCGTAGGCCGGGAAGAGAGGCGGTACACTGACCGCCGCGGGCTATCCGACGTCAAAAGTATGCTACTATGCGCCTGTGTAACAAGTGCCGAGCCTTGCCACCCGTGAACTAGCTTGAAAAAGGGGCGAACAGGCATCTCGCAGCCTGTTTCGTTCCAGTGAATAAATCACACGAAAGCTTTTCATTCAAATATTATGGCGATTATGCGGACTTTTCTCTGTGAATCGGTGGTCAACCCCAGAAAATGTGTCGTGAATCAGGCACTAGTTTTAGTTGTCGAAAATTATAAATGGCAGTGATGGCCACCTCACCTGGATAGGATAGAGGAAACATCTCGTGTTCCAAGAAAGCATAAACACACTACACCAACCCCAAAGACATCTCCAGCAACCGCAAAACTTCCCGAAATGGCCGACAACCAACCCAGCAAACCCAAAACCGTTGTTGACGAGTGCATTCCCATGAGCCGCACCTGCCCTCACGGCGTTAGTAGAAAGCATTGTGCTTACTGCTCACCACGTCTCAGATTGTAATCGAGGCAAACCTCATTGAAAGGAAGGAGAATGAGTGCCAGTAGCAATATAGAGGACAAATTGCGGGAGATTCTCGAGATAGTCAAGCGGACGAGGGGAGAAGAATCAAACTAGTTGACCAATGCCATCGGCTTGGAAGTAAGCTTGGAAATTCAGCACAATCTCTTCGCAACATAGTAGCACCTCACATTGAGGTATTTTGAAGAATGACGATCCCCGTTAAAACAAGGAATGGTAAAGGCAAACAAGCCAAGCTGAATGATCTGGTCTAAAACAACAATACAAACAGTCCTATCATCTATCAAACCAAGCCCAAATGCCTCAAAGCAGTCCACATCCTTTGCGCATTGTTTCCCATTCCATTGCCCGCCAGCTGCGGCCCAATCGTCGCCCTCAACAAATGCTGATCCCGCGCATCCATCATGTCCCACAGCTCCCTCAACACATCCATCTCCGACCGCGTCTCCCTAAAGATCCTCGCATACCCGACAAACAACAACTGCGCGGCCCCAGGCGGCATGAACGCCTCAACCCTGGGCATAAACTCTAACAGAAACTCCCCAATCGACCGCGCAAACATGTCCGAACACCCCAGCGCGCGGTCCTGGTCCAGCACGCAGCACAGCAGGAACAGGTGCCAGTACACCTCCTGCACGACCTGCACTCTATTCCTCTTGTTCGCGAGCAGGAAACGCGGGCGCGAGAAGAGGTCGAACTCGGGCGGGCCGCCGTACTGCTGCTGCGCGCGGCACATCATCTCAATGTATCGGAACACAAAGCCTGCCGCGCGGCTGAGCCCGTCGCGGAAGCGCAGCGGGTTGAAGTCCGGCGCCTCGAAGCCCGGGTTGTAGCCGCGCAGGAATTCGGGGACTGCGAAGTCGCCGCCGAGGCCCGGGACGAAGTTGCGTGTGCGCGGGAGGTGCTCGTGCATGAGGTCGCGGTCGACCAGGATGCGGCTGCCGTCGGGGAGGATGACGGTCACGCGGTTGCGGAGGCGGCCGTCTGGGCGGAGGGGGCCATTGTGGTTGTTGCCGTAGGGGTGGAGGTTGAAGAGGGAGGCAAAGTCGAAGGGACGCGGGGCGAAGGGTGTTTGAGCAAAGCGGGGGTAGGTGTTGAAGGTGTTGATGTTGACACGGTTGCCGCTGTGGACGTTGTTGTAGCCTGGGCCTGCGGCGGAAGAGGCCCAGGGAAAGTCTGGGGGGTTGGGATTGTAGGTCCAAGGCCGGAACATTTTTGGATAGTTAATAATGTTTCTGATGTTGGTAATGAAAGGTTGTCGGAAGTGATGATGTTGAAGAGAAGGCTTCCAACTTTGTACGGTTTCTGATGATGGTGTTTGGTGACACATGTATTACCACCCAACACGGCACATGAGGTAGCATGTGTTTGCTCAAATAGACGCAAGTGAGTACCCGAGCTCACCGCTTGTTTCTGATTGGAGCTCCTTGATTCTGTTGCGCGGTGAAGCTGCTGCCACTGACATCAGCTAGACTAGGGGCGATGATGGCAGTTCCCAATCTTTGGGCCATGGTCGACTTTGCGGTGAGTTAAGGTTGATCAACTGCGCCATGAATTGAGGGAGCCTGATTTGACGGTACGTTTTAAAATTCCACGGCAGTTGGATTGGTATCTCTCAGGGCGAATTCAACCTGCCCGCAAGCGTTATATGACACGTCGACCGCGTATCTCTCCCAAGAAGGAAACAGCTAGATCTTGTCAGCAGCCAATATGACAGTGTCAGGGAAGAGGTAACACCTTTTGGAACCCAATAACAAGTATTTGCTTCGCAACTTGAGTAAGGCTTACCGAACCAATGATGAACGGGATGAGTTGCCCCGTACTCCGAAATACATTCACTCCTTGGACTTCGTTCCACATCAGTGTCAACTCCACTGATAGAATGAAGTACGCTATCGTCAAGGCGGTTAATGCGTTGGCAACGACAGGTACCCAAACATACCGACATCTAAGCCAGCAGATTAGCGGGAAAAACCAGAGAGCTGAGAGCAACCATACCTATGACCTCTTTGGCCAGTAGTATGACTCGATACCGCGTGAGTAGGAACGGGACGGCTGCAATAAGAGATGATGATACCCACCAAAGCGCTCGGGGTCGCTGCGGTGTTGCTGAGAAGGTCGAGGACAAACAATACAGTATTTCCCATCCACATCAAACCCGTGAAGAGTAAACGCACTACAATTACTACAACACTGAACGAGGGTTCGATTAGAAAAACATCCGTAATACAATAGCAGTAAAATTCTAAACGCGATAAGTGCTCTTGGATGATAGGTCGGAATTCCTCCCTTAGTGGTCCACAGGTCACTAGAAACCTTGGCCAGAGCAGAAAACCGATGTCTCGGATTGCACAGACATGAAAAACAAAAACTGTGAAAATTATGCAAGGTATGTGCCATAACATAATCGGTAGTACGAAGATGGCAGAGAGTATCGCAGTACTCCGAAAGAAGATGACTGCACCACCTTCTAGTTGCTGCCTTGAGAAGAAAAAGATGGAAGCAGGCCTGCATGCAGTGGTGGCGGGGTTGGTGTCGACCGTCGAAAACCAGAAGAAAATGTTGAATCCCACAATGACGTTGATAACGGCCGTTCTCCAGAACGCCCCAGACCAGGTGATATACTTACTCTTGAGACCTGCGATGAGATCGATTGGAATACTGGACTCCGACATAGCTGCAATGTCGGCTTCTCGTTAACAGTCGACTTTGAAATGGTTCATGGTTGCCATCAACCCCGGCCGATGTACTGATTTGACGCCTCTGTGGTGGTCGACAAAATCTTGAAGGTCCCAGGAGGTGATATAGCGACTTATTCGTTTGTGTAGAGCGGTCTTCTTGTCTGCCCGCTTTTGGAGTTCGCCTGCAAAATGCAGGAAAAGCTCTTGTGATTCGTCCAATCTCAACAGCCTATTTCGAATGCCGAATGTTGGCAGAACCGTGACGAAGAAGCCGAAGGCAAACTGTAGCATAATGTACAACTCTACTTGTTGAATTGAATTGTCGTACTGCGCGACAATTGTGGCTATTATGACTGCTAGTACGAAGATGGCGTTGACTTTGTGGACTTCTTCGGCGCTCCCAGGGTCTATTAACACTTGAAGCCACGAGGAGACCCACTGGCAGTAAATACCAATTCGAATGCCAAGGCCGTACAGGTCTGGGTTCCCATTGATGGGGGAACATGTGGTTGACTGCGCCATATTTTGTTCGAAATGATAGATGGTAAATTGGAATGTGAGTCAAAGATAATGACCAGCGTAACCGTATACGTCGGCAAATTCGTTTGGGAATGTATCCGTGAGAATTTGATTTGAAAAGACACAAATTATCCGAAGCAAAGAATTTCTTGAATCTTGAGGTTGCCAATGCTCTTGACAGAGAGCAATGCGGGAGGGCAACTCGCGCAACCCACAACAACTGTTTATACTCACTATGGGAATGCCTTTCAGTGTGCCTCTTGACCAATGCACTCGCCAGCCACCGCACGGGAACATGAGGCGCCAGTCTGCAGCAGGTTTGCAAACTTTGATCAGCCTCACAAACCTCCCTTGTCTGGCATAGCCATCACCAGTGCGCTAGCAAAAGCAGCCACCAGCCCGGACGCCTTTACCGCACTAGTCACTCAGCTGAATATTAGAGACAACGGAGTTGCGCAAAGAAACAGTACTTGTGACATTAGCTCAAATCTTTGGAACGGACAGATGCTAGAGGCTGCAATCTGCCTGAGAGGTGACCACACTACCTGAGCCAACTGAATCATGAGCACATGAGCACTGCCCAAGCGAACCTATGATAGGCTACTTACATCGGTGGATTGCTGCATTGCCGGGCAAGTGATCAGGAAAATTCCAATTTTTCGGTAGAGGGGTCATTACTCAAGCAAAGGTTTCGAGGCACAACATATCTACTACTTAGTGTATTTCCATTTGTAGAAAGGTTTCGAAGATAAGATACATCGAAGCTGAAATGAATACGTCCACCAGTCCACACCGGTCTATGTTTGTTCAAGAAGCAAATTCTTCTGGTCCCACTAACCACACACAGACCACCAACACAACCTAGAACCTATGCCATATTACTCCTGCTTGGTGTCATCGCGCATCCCACGGGTGATGCGGCTCATGGGAAGCGAAAGGTCGCGGGTGACGAGAGTGGTGCCGGGCATGGGGTAGGACTTGGCATTCTGGTAAAGGGAGAACCTATGACTTGGTGTCAGACTTTTTGCACTCGCGAAACCGCTTCTGGGAATACTTACTTGGGGGAGAGACCGGCAGTGTTGGAGTCGTAGACACCAGGGAACTTGGCAGTGGCGGTGGGGACCTTGGTTCCAGAGCCAGTGACCTTCATCTGGCCGCAGTTGAAGTAGAACTCCGTGCCGGAGGGCTTGTGCAGAGC